TTGTGCACAAAGTGGGCTGAGTGACCCGGGTATGATGAAGTGGTCAGTTATTCTAAATTCTGCTTTGAGTTCCTTAGGAGCAGACCCCGAAAATTAAGGACGGTTTGAGTATAAAAACACAGAAGCCACCCTAGCAGAAACAGTATTTGGAGCATCAGGGGAGCAGGATCTGTACTGGAAAGGACTAATACTCTACTGAGACAGGAATAAAGGAAAATGAGTATAGACCAAAAATCTTTGACTTCGGTTAATCTCTATTCAAAGACAAAAATGTTTTGTCTGAATAAAGCCTTAGTGCTTGTAAAGGAGGCCTTTTGTGCTTCGATGGGAGAAACTTGGGCTTGAAAATATGGAGCAGAGTGGGTAGTTCATTGTATCTAGTCCCCAGGGTGGATGTGCTTGGGATTTGGACTGTAAGCTTGGGGACCGATGACCATGTGCTGCCATTGCTTCAGGATGACTCCACAGGCAGCAGATGTGATTTGAGACTGTTTGTCATGAGGAACATTCTGACTTACAGCTTCCTAGAGATGCCTCAGTTAGTTTTCACCCAGGCTTGGACGCCTTCATCCTGTGTTTTGTGCATTTCTTTATTCAGGAGATCATGTTCACTACTTTGCCTTCTTTTGTTTTTAGGAATGTCAAGTTTGCTTCGGAAAGACAGACAGTCCAGGGTGGGGATTGGGATAGGCTGCATTCAAGGGTGATGAAACAAGTAGAAGACTCACTAGCAGTAGCCAGGGGTGGGCAAGAGAGAAGGTCAGCCAGTGGCAGAATGGAGACTTAGCATAAGTAGGTAGATGCTAAGAAAAGGGATGTTCCTGGCAAAAGGTGTAGCACACATCAAGTGTCAAGGTAGGAGAGGGTTTGTATGTTTAGGAGATGTGTGGAAAGTAAGGCATATCAGGGTCTGTAAAGGGGGTCAGTGAATACTCTGATTTATTCTCTTGACCTGAAACTTTTGTAATTCCCCAAATTCATCAGTATTAATTCTGCTTACAGGTTTACCCATTAAATGTATCGTGAGTGGAGAAGCCAAATGACTTAGTCCTGCAGTCAAGTCTCTTAGATTAGGGAATTAAAATCTCAGGATGGTGGGTCAGGGCTTGTTTTAACAATGGAGCAGGGATGGATGACTTGTTAACCTGCCTCTAAATGTGTCCTGTCTGCTTACAGACCTGCTTCGGACGTTCTTTGATGCACTGTACGATGAGGACGTGGTGAAGGAGGATGCCTTCTATAGCTGGGAGAGTAGCAAGGACCCCGCTGAGCAACAGGGCAAGGGTGTGGCCCTTAAATCAGTCACAGTCTTCTTCAAGTGGCTTCGTGAGGCAGAGGAGGAGTCTGACCACAACTGAGGGCGGGTGGGGCCGGGGACAAGGAGCCCCATGGACACTCGGATGGCCCAGCCAGCTGCCTGGACTGCAGGGTGGGGCGGCAGCAGCTGTGGCAGTGGGTGCCTGTAGTGCGATGTGTCTGAGCTAATAAAGTGGCTGAAGAGGCAGGATGGCTTGGGGCTGCCTGGGGCCCCCCTCCAGGATGCTACCAGGTGTCCCTTTCCTTCCCCTGGGGCACAGAGATATATTATATATAAAGTCTTGAAATTTGGTGTGTCTTGGGGGGGGGGCACCACCGCCTGCCCCTGGGGTCCTTTTTTTATTTTCTGAAAATCACTCATGGGACTGCCGTCCTCGCTGCTGGGGGCATATGCCCCAGCCCCTGCACCACCCCTGCTGCTGCCTGGGCAGGGGGAAGGGGGGGCACGGTGCCTGTAATTATTAAACATGAATTCAATTAAGCACATTGCCTCTGCTTTATGGCTTGCTCCTGTGGAGAAAGGGGTATGGTTAGGTGGGCAGTCTCTTCCAGAGCAGGCACTGTAGCACCCGATAACCTGGCACCCCTCTAGAGGGCCTCTTCCCCTGTCCATGAACGCGGGTGCTGGGGAGCTAACTTTCTTGGAGGGTTGGGTCCGCGAAGTGGGTGGAGCAGGGTGCCCTGTTGGCCAGGAGGGGAGATAAGTGGCTGTGGAATACTTAATAGAATGCTTCCCAGTCTGGCCCTACCACGGGACCGCTGTGTATAGAAAAGGTTTCATCTGTAAAATGAGCTGGTTGCAGGGACGGCTCCTGCCCCTAAGCAGCGTGACTAGCACCCTGGCCCCAGCGGCTTCCGGTGGTTTAGCTCTGGCCTTCAGCCTTGCTGGCCAGTAGGGCCAGAGAGGTGGTGAAGACCTGTCTGCGGGACTCCCTCCAGCGTCGGTCCCAGGTTGTCCCTGTGTGTCTTGACGTCGACTTCGCCCCGCCCGCAGTGGGTGGTGACGCTGGTGGCCACGCCCTCGAGCTTACGTCACCGGCCCGGTTCCCTCTCCGGGGAGCGGCGTCGGACGCGCGGCTCCCACCCCCTCCCCTCTCGCGGGTTCTCCCCTCGCGGGTGGCGGCCGCGGCCCTACCCTCTGCAAGACGATGGCCCGGGCCCCGAGCGCGGGCTAACGTGCCCGGCCATGGGCTGTATCGGCTCTCGGAGCCCGGCGGGTCAGGGTAAGAGGCGGAGGCCGGGCACGGGCTGGGGAGACGGGCTGCGGTCGCCCGGTGTGCGTACCGCGGGTGGGTTGGGGCCTTGAGGAAGGGGCCGGTGTCGGGAGAGGGAGGAGCCTGTGTCGGGGAGGCGGGCCAGGCTAGAGGAGGGAGCAGGCGTGAGCGGGGAGGGGGCGAAACCGACTCAGGTTTGCTTCCACGGCCTGTCTGATTGTGGGATTTGCAGGGTACAGTCGCCGTCTTTCCTACCGCTGGATTCCTACCGCTGAGGGTTGCAGAAGGTGCACAGCTTGGGCAGGGGCCAGCCAACCTTCTCCAACCCGTGGCTAGTGGCCTTGCACACCTACCCACTCTCCCGTCAGCCTCACCTCTCTCCCTTTCCTGGGAGTGGGCCTTCACGCAGGAAACCTACCTCTCCTAGCTGTGTCCTAACCCCTTAAAGGAGATAAACCTGCAAAGGCTGGCCATGTACCCTCCCACAGAATTTTTGTCTAAAACTTACAACCCCCTTTAGAGTCAGCTGGTTGATGAAGAGAGCTGGGGCCCCACTTGGAGCACCTGTGAGCACCTGATTACCTCTCGCCGCCTCTTAAAACTGTTTGTTCTCTCCCTGAACTCAGAACAAAACCAAGTGACCCTGCCAGTGTAGGAAAAGAGGAGCCCAGGAGGAAGCCATCAGAGCATCCTTCCCACAACTGCTGACCCTTGCTTGGGCCTTGGTTCCCATGGATGGTGGTGCATGCTGGGAGCTGGCCTTAGTCCTGTACATCTGAGGGTTGGCTAGCTGACTTGACTTCGGTGTCATGAATTTTTCTAAACCTAAGGCCAGACAGGGACTTGTGACATTAACAGCTGGGTTTGGAATAGGTCCTGGATTTTCAGAGCCGGTGGTCAATCACACAGGCCTGAGTGTGGTTTGTGTGGGAGGTTCTTTGCACCTAGACTCTAGCTGAGATTTGTACCTTTAGTTTCCCATGAGGAATCTTGGGATTTGTAGTCCTAAATTAACCTCATGGCTTTTGAAGCAGAGAAGCAGTAGGCTGCTCTGGCCCTGCTAAGGCGTGGAGTTCAGGAAGTCATTCCTGCCTGTAGTCAGGGGGAAGGTGGGGTCTGGCTGATCTCAGGACTGGCCTGTGATACCTGATTAGTACCAACTAGGGGCCGGGGATGGCCTTTAACCTTGTGTCTTCTTCTGGTTGGTAGCATTTCTGGGAACCACCAGCTGGCTGTGAGGCTCAGGGACAGAGACGGCTGCTCCGGCTAAAGGTCAGTTGTGATGTACGTTGCCTGTTGGCACTGTCTAGGGGATGGGCCTTGGCTTTCTGAGCTCCAGAGAGCTCAGCTGGGCCCCTGGCATTCCCACCTCCTCAAAGCCATGAGGCAAGAATGTTCTCCTTATGTGACTAGGCACAGGTTCCAAGTGGGGAGGGGACTGGCTCAGCATCCGGAGCCAAAATAGGAATAGAACTGGGAGCTGAGCCTGGAGCCGTTCTGGGCTTTTGGTTCTCCGCATCAACACAGCCAAGGATGCCTATGATTTCTGTGCTGGGCAAAATGTTTCTGTGGCAGCGTGAAGGGCCTGGAGGACGATGGACTTGTCAGACAAGTCGCAGAGGTGAGACCAGAGACCATAGATGTGATCTGGGAGGTGATGGGAGGCTGAGGAGTAGGGTGCTCAGGTGGCAAGAGGAAAATTACTCTGGCTTAGCTATGGGGAATCAGGCTGAGACAGGAACAGCTAGATAGGGGCTGGACAACGCATTCGGAAAATGTCTTAGGGGGCTGGAGCGAAGGTCAGAAAAAAAATGATGGGTTTGTTAGAAAAGAAGAGTAAAGAGCTGCGTACCAGCTGAAGCTGGTGAGAGAAAAAGAACCAAGAGCAGCAAGGAAGCCTACAGAGGGTCCAAGGTGGTGGTTGTGGGGAGGGAGGACAGTATTGGTGGGGAAATAGCCCATGCGCTTTTCAAGAGGAATGGGTAGACTGAGGAAACAGAGAAGACAGAATTTATCAAAGTTTAGGTTTCACCCTAGGGTTTTGATGTATTCAGCGGTGGAAGGTGGCCAGTGGGCTGCCCAAAGTAATCCCAGGGCTGCGGGATGGGGGCTTTCAGAGTTGCGTCTTCCAGAGTTGCGCAGAGCACCAGGTGTTTGCCGTAATTCCGGAGGTGGGGGCAAGGTGTGTGTGTTTGGGGGGCGGGGGGAAGCGAGGAGAAATGATAGACAATAATGGATGAAAATGGGGTTTGGCATAAGTGGAAGCCCAGCTGAATAGCCTTTCCCTACCCCTCAGTGACCTCGGACCCTGCGTGGGCTGTGGAGTGGATCGAGCTTCCTCGGGGCCTCTCTCTGTCTTCCTTGGGATCTACTCGGACGCTCCGAGGCTGGAGCCGGTCCTCCCGACCTTCCTCCGTGGACAGCCAGGACTTGCCCGAGGTGCTGGGTCCCTGGTATTGGTAGAGGGAAAAGGGACGGCATCCACTTAAAGGAGATCTGTATCCCCACCCCCGCCTCGCCAGCCTGCTTCTGGCTCAGCGGAGGCGCTATCCGGCCAGCAGGGCCGCAGGGCCGCCCCCGCGCCGGTCTGCTCTGCTCGGCGCGGTGCCAGCGGGCGGGCTTGCTCGCGCCTTCGGCACTGACGTCAGCGCATCCCGGTCTGTATCCCGGGAGACCCTGTTGCGTGGTGATGGGTTGCCAGGGAGACATACACCTTTTCTCTGGGCCTGGGCCGCAGCTGCGCGGAGCGCCAGCACGGATGGCGGCGGCCTGGGGGAGTGAGGGGAGGGAGAGCAGGCGAGCTAGGAAACACCCAGCAGGTGCACCTCCCCCCAGGCCTGACCGGAAGCTACCACCCAGGGGGTCCTGTGAGCCAGGTACTGAAAGGGAGGGATAAAGGGTGGGTTAACCGGTACTGGAGCCCCTCTTGTGAGGGGTAAGAATGTGATGGAGGAGAGCTAGGCCACCCTGGGGAGGGGGCGTGTGCCTCGGATTTCTTTCTTTCACTGAGGGAAACATTTGCTGGGGCCTGCCAAGGAACATTCAGCCAGGTGAGGGTGGAGCCAGGACCCCAGGTGATACAGACTCAGGCCAGTGCCATCCAGCGCTCCCTCAGGGGAAATGCAGTGGCAGTGCTGGGGTGGAGAAAGGGGGATGGAAGACTGAGGAAACTGGAGAAAAACATTATTAGGGGGTGGCACTTGAGTCAGGCTTTAAATAAATGGCAGGGAACATTTTGTCAAGCAAGGGTGGCATTCTTAGCCTAAGGAGAGCTGGGTTCCTTTGCCTGGAGGCAGGATGGTTGCTTGCCTACTCGAAAGGTGGAAAAGTAGGGTTTCACTGGCCACAGGAGATCTGTGGGAGCTTCAGAGACCAGGATGAGTTCCTTTGGTGCCAGACTGTGTGCTTACACTTCATTAGACAATGGGGGAGCCGGGAGGAGTCCGGAAAATATTTTAAATAAGACGCGTTGTGGCCAGTTGCACTCCAGGAAAATTATTTGTTTACATTTGTATCTTACCTCATTCATTCAGCTTATGTATGTTTGAGAGATTACTCTGTCCCCTGTATTGTGTTAAACACTGGAGTGCAGTGTTTAGTTCAAAGATTGAACTAAAGACTAACCTGTGTATTAGAAGGAGTCCATAATTACCCACATGGGGTACATTGATAGAAGCCAGTGATTTGTTACAGGCCGCAGAGGGAAAACTAGTAGGGTTGACCAGGAAGGACTTCACAGAAGGAGACGTAATTCAGCCAAGACCCAAAGGGAGAGAAAAAGCCAGCCAGTCATGGGAGTGGAGATGGAACGTTTATGACATTCTAAACTGAGAAAGATACATGGAATCAGAGGGGCTTTGGTCACTGCCACTTGTGCTGGTCTTGGCAAGCAGCACTGAGGGCTTGAAGGAGGGCAGTGAACGCAGAAAGGGTGAGGGTAGTGTTAGAGGCAGTTTGGAGATGGGATCACTAGGTCTTGATAGATATGGACAGCAAAGCTCAGGGAGGACTTGAAGGTAATGGAGCCAGGCCGAGGCCGAGGCCGGTGTGTGATGCAGAGCAGGGAAGTCAGGAAGTAGGGTCAGTATGGTGAGAGGGCACTGGGTTTGGCTTTGGTCCCGCTGAGTTCATAGCCTTGATAGGCTTTCAGAATAGCTAGAGCGTGGGTCTGAAGACTGAGAGGAGGAGAGAGGTGAAGGAGAGGTTCTGGAGGCAGTCTGTGACACTGTGCCGTCTTTCTTCTCTCTTTTCAATGGCCTCACTCCTTGGTTCTTTCCTTCCTGCCCTGCCTCCTGGTTCTCTGGGAGCTGAGCCAGTGGAGGGTTAGTTGCAGTTCTCTTCCTTTGGGCCTGCCTGAGTCTCCATGGCTTCTGGGGAAGACATAGTTTGCTGGTCTTGGCTTCTTACTCTCTTAACATATCCCAGAAGCTACTGTGATCTATGTGCTCCCTGGGCATTTTTTCCCAGTTTCCATCTCTGCCTTGATGCCCTGGGTGGGGTATGAGCATGTAGGAGGACACTGCTGTCAGAGGGGCGCTGACCCTCTGATACTGATTCTCCAAGGTGAATGTTGGAGACACAGTCGCGATGCTGCCCAAGTCCCGGAGAGCCCTAACTATCCAGGAGATCGCTGCTCTGGCCAGATCCTCCCTGCATGGTATGCACCCCCCTCACCCCTCCATGTCTCTGCCACTCTGTCCTGTTCCTTTTGCACATGACTCCTCAGATGAATCCCAGCTACCTCCTCCTCCTACCCAAAGGCACATATGGGCCATAACCACCATCAGCCTCCCACTTTCCTCCCAAATGCTCCTTGTGCTGTGCCCTTATCAGGCTTCCTTGCTCTGCCACTTCCAGGTATTTCCCAGGTGGTGAAGGACCACGTGACCAAGCCTACCGCCATGGCCCAGGGCCGAGTGGCTCACCTGATTGAATGGAAAGGCTGGAGCAAGCCGAGTGACTCGCCTACTGCCCTGGAATCAGCCTTTTCCTCCTATTCAGACCTCAGCGAGGGTGAGCAAGAGGCTCGCTTTGCAGCAGGTGGGTGACAGAAGGGGTCAGCCATACATTTGTCACAGGGATGTTCACTCTCATCTTCTCAGTCCTGAGGTGGGAGTTGGGGTCTTTCTACACTCCTGTGATCCCCTCTCTTGTCTCCAGAATGAGCCCACTCATAACACACCTTCTCAACTAATCCATTGTGTCCTCCCCGACAGGAGTGGCTGAGCAGTTTGCCATTGCAGAAGCCAAGCTCCGGGCATGGTCTTCAGTGGATGGCGAGGACTCCACCGATGAATCCTATGATGAGGACTTTGTTGGAACTGACTCAGGTGAGGGGACATCCCATGCTGGTGCTGCCAGCTGGGATGCACCTGTCCCATGGTCCTTGGGATTCAGAGCTCAGACGTTGTCAGGGGAGAATCGGAATGTCCTCAGGCTTCGGCGCAGGGGAGAAGGGAGGAAGACTGGCATCCCTGGGCATTCCAGGAGCTGGAAGGTTGTCCATGTTCACGGGTGGGGAATCGGCAGTTGGAAATTGGAACTGGGTTCCTTTCCTAAGGTGCCATGCCCTCTCTGTCTGTGCAGTTGGGCCTTGCAGCCTGTTTCTCTGTGCCAGGCCTTTCCCTCCCCAGGCAGCCTTCTGACTGGTTGTGGCAGGACAGAGCCGCAGTGCAGCAGTACAGCACCTCACAGGGCTGTGGCCCCAGGCAAACAGGAAGGCATGCTGGGCCTGGATCGCCCACAGGGCTGAGCTGGCTCCAGCTCAGCATCCTTGTATTCCAGCCAAGACCTGCCGGTGGGCCTCTCTCTGGGCCAGTGCTTGCAGATGTGCGTGGCCCTCCTTTCATCTTTCATTCCCTACACCACGTGGCTGACTTTCTCTGTGGCTTCTGGGCTCCAGCCTCACAGGCAGTCACCCCCACCCCCCACCTCTTTGCCTTTGAAGATCCCCTCTGCCAGCCCCTTCAACCCCTCCAGCTAATTAACAAGTTCTCTAAGGTGGGCAGTGCATCAGAGCAGATTGGAGATTGCTGCTGTGGTCCAGCAGGGACTGAATTGGATGCCAGAGGCCAAGACAGAGCCCTGAACCACAAACTTTTTTTGTTTGATTGAGTTCCAGGCCTGCTTTGGCCCCTGGTATAATGATAATAACTAACGTTTATCCAAGGCGACTACTCGCCTATGTGGAATCTGTATGCAGATTAGAAAAAGCCACCCCTTTCTCTGGCAGGCCAGACTCTGCTAGGGCATACTGCTGGTCAGCCCTCACTCACTGCCTTGGGCAGGCTCCCCTTGTGCAGTGAGCAACCTAGGCAGCTGTAGGCAGTACCCCTTCACTTACTGCCTCCTTACTGTGTGCCAGAGTGCTGTTTTCTCAGCAACCCCACAACCTAGTTACATTAAAATCCCTGGTTTAGGGGCCTCCCTAGAGACCTAGGGGCTAAGTCAGTGCTATCACCACGATGGCCTGAGTTTGATCCTTGGCCAGGGAGGTGACCCACATATGGCACAGCAGACCTCTCCTGTCTCGCCCACTGCTCCCCTCAGCAGTGTATTTCAGTAACTGCCTGCACGGCTCCCTACACTGTCTCTGGCAAATCCTTTCACCCACTGCAGCTCTGGCCTGTACCTCAGTTTTTCTATACAAAAATAGATGAAATCCTTGGGGGAAAAAGTTTAAAAAAAATAAAAATCCCTGATTTACCTTTAAGGCAACTGAGGCACTGAGAGGCTGAGACTTGCCCAAAGTTACCTACTTTCTACCCACCACCCCCAGCGCTGTGCTGAGTGTGAAGCAGGGAGAAGTTGGCCATCTGAATCGTGCTAGTAGAGCGGTCTTCTTTTCTGTCTCCCTACAGACTTGGCTGCGCAGCTGCCTCTGGGGCCCCACCTCCAGGACCTCTTCACTGGCCACCGATTCTCCCGGCCTGTACGCCAGGGCTCCGTGGAGCCTGAGAGCGACTGCTCGCAGACCGTGTCCCCAGAGACCCTATGCTCTAGTCTGTGCAGCCTGGAGGATGGTTTGCTGGGCTCCCCGGCCCGGCTGGCCTCCCAGTTGCTGGGCGAAGAGCTGCTTCTTGCCAAACTTCCCCCCAGCCGGGAAAGTGCCTTCCGTAGCCTGGGCCCACTCGAGACCCAGGACTCGCTCTACAACTCGCCCCTCACGGAGTCCTGCCTTTCCCCTGAGGAGGAGGAGACAGCCCCCTGCAAGGACTGCCAGCCGCTCTGCCTGCCACCAGTGGGCAGCTGGGAACGGCAGCAGCAAGCCTCTGACGTAGCTTCATCTGGGGTGGTGTCCTTAGATGAGGATGAGGCAGAGCCGGAGGAACAGTGACCCAAATTATGCCTGGTGGCGGCATGCGTCCCTGGGCTGCTGCGGGGGGCAGAGCCTCCTGCCCAGTGCGTGCCCAGGTGCGGTGGGAGGCTCCCCGCAGAGCTCCAAAGCCGTGAGGGCTCCTGGGAACACTCACTCCTCTGTTGTGTTTTGCATGAAAGTGTTTGGAGAGGAGGCAGGGGCCAGGCTGGGGGGCGCATGTCTTGCCCCCACTCCTGGGGTTTGCCGGGGGTTGCCCGGGGCCCCTGGGGCATGGCCACAGCTGTGGCAGACAGTGATGTTCATGTTCTTAAATCAGAAACACCACATACACATGTCCTCCTTGGATGATGTGAGCCCCTAAGGGGGTGGTTGTGACTGGGCTGTGTGGGGTAGAGGGAGAGGGAGCTTGGCCTCCCGCTCCTGTCTCCCCAGGCCTCTCTCTTCTCTGCTTCTCTCACCTCCCAGTCCATGTGCTGTGCTTGATAGCATCACCTCCCCCCACAGTGGGGGTGGCTCTCACCCTCCGGGAGCCTAAGGATTGAGCCGTCTCCCAAGGGCCCCTTGCCCAGCTGGGCTTGTGCTGTGCTTCACCTCCCCCTTGTCTCTAAATCTTCTTTTCCCTAAAGAAAGGGGTTTTGGTCTGTTCTTTCAGTTGGATCTTCTCTGGGAGGCACTGGAATGATGAAAGCACGTGCCCTCCACCCTTTTTCTGGCCCCTCTGGTGGCGTCAGGGGTACGCCCCCTGTAGGAGGTGTTGGCAGGATCCTGGTGGCTCACAGACCGACCACGGCCATCTTAGCCATGGCCGGTCCCTTCACCCAGAGTCCTAATTATGGTGGAGGCAAAGAAGGGACAGCTCTGGTTGCTGGCGCTGTGACTTGATGTTCCAGTGAGGGCCACAAGAGGGCCACGTGGCATTGTCTGATGCTGCCTGGGTTGGGCAGGTAAAGTGCCAGTGAGTGACAGTCATGGGGGGAGTATGTCTCCTTGGGGCAGGAGAGTGGTGGTAGTGCCTTTCTTGGCTGAATGGAAGAACCAGAGCTAAAGTACCGGGGGCCTCTGCCCCAGCCAGTTGTTGGTGGGCAGGCGGCGGAGGCCTCTGCAGATCTGGCTTTCCCCGGACAGTGGGAGTGTTAGGGCCTTGGGGGGTGGGGGGGGTTGCTGCAGACTTTGGAGCCTTGTAGGCTTTGACAGGTAAGAGGGCCCAAGGTAAGAAGAAGAGCTGATGGGCACAGACATTCTATATATAAGTGGCTCATTAGGTGTTTATTTTGTTCTATTTAAGAATTTGTTTTATTAAATTAATATAAAAATCTTTGTAAATCTCTATATACATCTGGTCATTGGAGGTTCCAGTATAAACCCATCTTAGTTTGCTCCCTTTCCGCTTCAAAGAGGGAGCAGAGGTCAAGACCCCACCCTCATCGTGCTGGGCAGTGCTCATCTGCCCAAGGACGGAATGCTTGCTGCAGCTGGGCTCTGGGTCAGGTTCCAGGTAGGATAAACTGGGAGAAGCTGGCACCCCAGGTTTGGAAGAGGGGCCGGGTGCCAACCTTGGGCTGTGGCTGTCTCCTGCTTTCCCAAGGCAGAAGGTATGTGAGCAGCAGGGTCCAGGCCGACAGCCATGGTCACGGCTATCCCAGGCTGCCCATTGAGGGGTTCACTGGCACTTGTCATCGCTGTCAGAAGGGCTGCCCTCCCGAGGGAGGCCGTGGCGGGAGCGGGGCCCCCAGAGTGCATGCACCTCAGTGGTCTCTGTGTCACTGCTGCTGGTAGCACTGTCACGGAAGCTGGCAAGAGGTGGTCGGACTTTCACGCCCTGTGCTGTGACCGAGCCCTCGATAGCTTTCCGGAGCTGGTAGAGAGGAGAACAGGTGTGAGGTGAGGCCAGGAGGTTCCTGCGTAGACTCCTCCCCTGGGAGCACACCCCCGAGGTGAGCTGGACATAAGCCTCCCTGCCTTTTTGGAAGTGGAAGTGGCTCAGGCCCTACCATCTCACCTCCTTTAGGGTGACGATTCCAATGAGCCTGCCAATACTGGTGACATAAGCATGGTCCACTCCCAGCAGTGAGAAGATGGTGTGAGTCTGCAGGGTGGGGAGAAAACATGGACTGAATACATGAAGGGGCAGTTTTAAGTTACAAGTCAGAGTGGCTTGTGACAAGTGGGTTAGGGGTAATTCGAGGTGCCACGGATGGCAGGGGAGGGAGCTCGGCCTAGAAGAAAATAATGAGAGAGTGTTTCTGTCACCAGTCCTCAGGAACTTGCTAGTGGGGAACTTTATGTTCCTTATTTTGATGGAGAAATGAGTACAGGAAAGATTCTTCTCACATTAGAAAGGAGGATGTAGGAGCGAATAACTGCAGATAAGACATCTAACAGTGTGGCATCGTCGGCAAGCCTGCCTTCCGTAGCATTTCATTGCAGTGCTGTCCTAAGAAGTAGGTTTAATGTTCATTCTACAGGAGAGGCAGCCTGAGGCTCAATGGTGAGCCTCGCTCACTCGGTTAAGACGTAGTCTGCGGCCCCAGGTCAATGTTCAGCTCACAGTAGAAGGAACAAACACAGCCCCATTGCCCTATGAAGATGTCAGATTAGTCAGGGGGGTTCCAAACCCCACAGGGGGCCTGCCCCTGTGTTCTGTGCCTCTCCTCCACCTTAGTGACTGACACACGCTTCCCATTAGCCCTCACTGGCCGGCCTTCATTTGGCTCCAACACCACAGTCTTGGCCTGAAGTACCTACACTCCCCTACAGTATGTCTTTTCCGGGACCTGAGTAGCATCCAGGTCCTGCTGAGATATAGGGAGTCTAGGGAGACGAGTCACCCCTCTACCCCATGTTTTTCTTAGGTCCTCCCCAAGCTTTCAAATGTAATCACAAAGGGTTCAGAAATTGTCAGCTAGTTCCCCTTGGGCTCTCAGTGTGTTTTCTTGGGCCAGAAGTCTTGAAAAACATGCTACTGACTCAGCAGTTTCTGGAATTTCTGGCCCATCATTTATCACACAGTTTTGGGTTTACTTGTAAGCCTCTTGACTTAATGTTTGAATCAAAATGGGCATTAATAATCCAGTTTCTTGAGTGCCAGATGCTCAGAACTTACTGTCTTTATACCTTTAAATTTTTCCTGACATAACTGCTAAATTCTTCAGGAGAGGACTTCCAGAACTTTCCTATCTTTCTCCATCTAAGGGATGACAGTACTTATAAAAGGAGCTAGAAGTTCAATTTTAGAATAAGTTTTTAAAACCGTACTCCCTCAGTAGTTCCACCATAATTGTCTTGCGGTTATCAAGTTCTTCCTCATCTTTACTTGACTCCTCTGTGCAAGTTATCTTTAAATTTCTCATCTGACTTCAGAGGGAACAGTTCTTTAATGGAATACTTTTTTTTTATTAATTCCTTAGCCTTTTTTCTAATGGTTTAATAATCCCTCTCAGCTTCTCCCTAGGATCAATAGTTCCCTGGATTTTCATTTTCTCCACAGTCCTAATCAGAGTGAATTTCTAGCAGTTGCCTTTTTAAGTGTGTGAATTGCTTATCCCTGGCAGTCATCAGCTGTAACTATCTACTTCCTGAACATCCCCAACTTCTTTACATCCTCATCAGGATGGGGCACAATATCCCACTGGGTTTGCTTCCCTCCAGTTTGTCTCAGCCATCCTTGGACTTCCTCAAACTCAAGTTAACCTTTTTTTCTAAGTCCGCTCAAACTTATCTATAGTGGTCATCTCGCTGTCCCTCATCCCATCATGATGATAACGCTGGTTATCATGAGCCTATATGCCAATATGAGTCCATAAGCCAATTCCCAAGTCCACCCCCACTGTCCTTCCAGCCTTAGATTTCACCAGGTACCGCAACCTTCAGCCTCACAGAATCAGTCTTTCTTAAATGGAACCATTTCTTCGACCCTTCACACCTTTCCTTCTTACACCATACTGTTCGCCTCCAGTATAGTGGTAGCACTAGTAATTCCTAACATATAATGAATTCTTACTATATGGCAGGTACTGTTCTAATACAGGTATCAACTTTTAATCCTCAAAACCCTGTGATGTGGGTACTATGATTCCTACCTTATAAGATAAGGAAAGTTAAGCTGGGAGCTTTGCCAAGACCACACAGCTAGCTAACCGGTAGCAGGGTGAGTGAGGATTTGGGCTCCGCCAGTCCTGTCTAGTGTTGGAACTCTCTAGTCTCTCCACCTCCACCCACTGCCTCTCTGTAGGTGGTCTGAGTGAAAGCTGGGCTTAGCTGGTATGGTGATATCCAGTTGCTTCCTAAATAGTATGAAATGTATCCCACCTACTTCTGAAAGTTCTGTACTTAATTGGGCTACGACTTATTGATTCCTCAGGCCTGCAAGGATATTTTGCCTTCTAATCTTTTTATGTTCTTATCGCTTCCAGTCCTTGGTGCTTTTGTTAGCCAGTTCCTCAAAGGCTTTTTCTCTTCCTCTGATTTTTAAGTTTGTAACAAACACTTTGTTCTTTTTCACTTTAATTTAATTAGACACCAGGGAGCCCACTGGAACTGTACTTCTTGGACTTGGGAACAGCGAATTGATAGGGAGAGGCATGATTTGGCCTTCTGGAAAGAATACTGGGATTTAGGCCAGAAAATATGGGTTCTGTGACTGACTGCTACAGTGATTGGGGCAAGTGACCTCCTTACCGCCTCAGTTTTCCTGTGTATTAAAATGGCTAAATCCAAGGCTTTTGGTTCAGACCATTTTGGATTCCAGACCTGGTTCTGTTACTTAACTAGCTGTGTGACCTTGGGCAACTTACTTAACCTTTCTGAATCTCAATGTCCTCATTTCTAAAAACTAGAATCTCTATCTTACCCTGTGGTTGTGAGGGTTAAATTAAACACATGAAGAGATCGGCACAGAGCCTGGCTCATGGGTGGCACTAAAAAAAAACGTCAGCACTATCATCATGATGGGATGTTTGAGGGATAAATAACACGATCATCACAGATACGTTGGAGAGGTCCTAGGAAGAAAGGCTTTAAAGTAAGAGCCTGGTGTACTATTTTCATGGGTTTCTTGCAACTCTTGCAACTGCACTGCAGTTCCCTACTCACTTTCGCCTGAGGTCTTTACCCAAATGCTTACAGATTCCTTTGTTGTCCCCTGTCCTGTCTCAGCACCCCCCCCCCACCCCCATTTGTGCTAGGCTGACTCTGAGGCTCAGCTTGTATGTAAACTAGCTCCCAAGCTGCCCACTTCTGGGAGGCCCCCTGCCTCCCAAGCAGTTCTCCGGAGAGCCCAGGCTCTCCAGTGTCAGCCACTCCCACCCCCAACCTGCCTGCACTCTCAAGTTTCCTTGTTTCTGCAGGCTGGCTTGTCCTTCTGCTGCGCTATCTCCCTGTGTGCCTGCTAGTTCTCCTTTGGCCTACATTAAATCAAACTTTCTGGGGTCTGATATTCCAAGCTCCCCACTGGGCATTTTCTCATCTTTGTTTATCTCGCCTTGGTAGTGTCCCACCCCTACTTGAATATTTGTTAGCTTGTTTATTAGATTTTCTAATCCTGCCTATTTCTCACCCAGTTTTTTCAGTGTGGGTGTATCAGCCTTGCTAGTTGCTGGCAGCCTCCGGCCTAGCTCTGACCCTACCAGGGCCTTCTGGCTTCCACCCAGTTCGAGCCCTGTCTTTGTTGCTGCTTTGGTCCAGAGTTCCCTGGGGGCAAGGCTGAACAGTGGAAAAATGATGCCTGGCTCGACACAGGAAGAGGGGAAGGGGCCCTGGCTCCCAGCCTTTGGAATCGGTGTGTTGGAAGAACGTCCAGCACAGAGCCTACTCTCTGCTGTCACTTTTCTCCTTGCTGGCCTGAGTCCAAACTTGTGGGAGGACGGAGATCCCCACCCTGTTCGCCCATGTGTTCAGGCCAGCCCAGGTCACGGCCCCTACCTTGTGCAGAGAGGTCCGCTCCACCAGCTGGAAGGGTGCAGGGTCAATTTTGCAGTCACTGAAGTTCACAGGCTCATCTAGCTGCTGCTCCTCCCACTCCAGAATCTGAAGGAACAAGAGTAGAAGGGTCCATAGGGAAAAGATGCCGATAGTTGTTCTCACCTCCCTGAAGACTGGCCTGCCCTTTTCCTGCTCCACGGTGCCTCCTGTGAGGACAGCTGCCAAGAGGATGAACGAACACACCCAGGGAGAAACAGGGTTCAGAGTCCAGTCACACCTTACCTCCTCAGCGGTCATCTCGCCTTCCAGGTCTGAGTCGCTCTAGGAGGGAAGGAGAGAGGTTGGCAGTCAGGGACCGGGGGTGGGTGGGCAGATGCCCTTGGCGGGGCTCGGTGGGC